ACTGCGAGGGGATCCTTGCGGTTGAGGTCCAGGGGTGCACACTGCGATCCGGAGCTGGCCAGACAAGATCGGCGAAGCAGATTGGCGAAGCAGATTGGCGATGAAGGAAGCAAGGAGGAAGGAGGAAGGAAGGAGGAGGAGGAGGCGGAGGAGGAGGAAGAACAACTGTGATAAAATCTAACAACCCTCACCTGGCAGGTGGGGAAAAAAGGTATCCGGAAAACTCTGCTGGGGCCTCTTGTGCTTTCTACTGGGCGTAGTACAAGAAACTCAAAGAAGCCAAGAAACCCTGAAAGGTTTTGTCACACTGATTTTAACATAGTGGCACTCCTTACCACTCCCATCCACTTCGACTCCGTCGAAGGTGCCACCTGGAAATGGATTAACATGCGTAACATGACATGAGTCAAACAATTTAAACATATCAAACAAAGACAAACCACATGGGCATGTGACATAAAGACACCCGTTTCGTTTCGCTGGTTCGGTGTTACCGCCGGTCACTGATCTCCAGATCCCCCGAAGACCCGCAGATCATCTCCTCTGGATCCCTGATGCCATACAGCTCGGCGCGGTAGGCCTCAAATGGGTCGCTCGTCGGCGGGAGAGGAGAAAGTGAGACCCCCGGTACTTCTTGGAGCCGCAAGGAAGGAAACCATGTGATCCATGGAAATACATGTGTGGCCGGTGATGCGGAAACAAAGCATAGGGTAAAGCCTAAGCAAAATCATGGATATGTTCCTTCTCATCCAAACTTGTCTGCTGAAAAGCCATGTGACTACCAGGGGTGCAAAACCCCGATGCTTGCTGGATGCTTACGTGGTCCACCCTGTTCCATAGCTCACAAATCTTCACAGTGTACTAGTGTTTAGTCTGACCCGCTCCTGCTCTGTTCAGATATTCAGATCCTGGCCTCTATGTCACCCTTGGAGAAGTTGACCACCTTGTAGATCTGTTCTGTGCAAATGTGGGGAACCTCATCTTTGTCCCTCCCAAAGGTCCCCCACTATTGGTTTTTCGTGTACCTTTGTTCACCAGTACAGTACCCATTCCTTGAGTCTATCCTGTAACCCTGGGCCCAATGGATGTTGATGGTTAAAGTAAAGGCCTTTCTCCAAAAAAGGTATTTACCTGCTACCTTGGAGAACTGTGACGTGACGGAAACCCAGAACTCAAGGACCATGTGCTCCTGACGAAACCGGTCAACGGCCCGACCGGTCCAGGTCGGACCGACCGTCCCTGAGGTCCCAACCCGAGGGTTTTGCCAATGCACCGCCGCCAGCGCGGCCGCGCGCGACAAGCGCTGCGCGGCCCAGCCGTATTGGCCACCTCGAGGCAATTGAACAGACTCAACAAAAAGGGACGAGTATATTAAGGACAAGAACTAGATATCATGACTGAAGCATCAACAATAATGATATAATAGAGTTTAGTTAACTACTAGAGTATATCAACATACATCAACTAAACTAGATCTAACTGCTGAAGTATCAAGTAAACTAGATTTAACAATCTTTTATAATATTTAACTACTGAAGCCTCAGTCTATATAGTCTCAGTAGTCAAACATCAAACTCAGGAACCAAGCAGATGTCCTGCACTTTAAGAGTACTTTCCCCCATACCTCCCAAAAATTCAGGTGATCCCCTCATCAATAATTACTAACGGGCGTCCAATTGCAGTCAGGGTTAGCCCCTCCACAGAAAACCGCTGGGTGCCGGGTGTTTTTCGTGTAGAGTTCTAGCATGAACATGTAGAGTCACCAAGCACCAACACGCAAAAAAAGGGAGCAACCAAACCAGACCCGCACACAAAGGGAGCATCAGGAAACCTATGAAATGGTGATTTCGCGATGCGATAGTCAAATCTGATCGATGACTATGATTCATGACCGACAAATTCTGTTGGGATCTAAGTCGTGCGTAGCATTGAAGGTGACGATCTGCTGACGGTATGCATTCTTCATAGGGTACTTCGCGTGATTCCACACCAATTCAGAGCGATCAATCAACCTAAGAAACAAAGGTGAGTGACCAGCAGGTGGGGTGTCTGACTGGGTCCGCTGGTCGATCACCTCTCCGGATCTTCTCACCTCTCATCCGCTCCGCGACAAAGTTGTTCTGCATCGGCTGGTAGCCTGTGGTGCTTTCATCCAGTGAGATGACACACAAATGACACATTGATCCAAGGCCTTCAAACATCTTACCTTTCATATACATTCTCATGGTCTGGAAGATTAATCTGGAACCTGAAAACCAGTGAGTTGTAGAGGGGGAACCTTCTTCCAAAGGCCAACCTTGCAGGTTCCCTCTTAATCTCCCCAGGTGTGCCGTTTCCACACCCAAATCGACGTTTGGGTCCCAGTAGATCCGAGCACATGTGGTTCGCCAATGACCGCGCTGGAACAAGCATAAGTGAGGCGTCCATGGGGATCCTCTTCAGACCTCACAGGCTCGTCGATGGAGACGAACCTTCCGTTTTTTGACCGCGCGTGGCAAATCTGTAAAGGAAAGTTCTACGAGATCTGCAAAGATTTGTCAAGTTATTCCAGTCTTAAGAGTCTTACACGTATTTCTTTCTGGAAGTCGTTCAAAAGGCATCAGCTCTTGTTCAATTCAGATTTCAATCCGCAAACGACCACAGGTTCCCTCGGGCCTTTGCACGCTACTCGTCGCGTGGGCGGTTTGAAGCCCCTGACAAGAGTGCAATGATGGCGACATATCTCAGTGGAAGGCACTAATACAAAATGCATCAAACCGCGAATACGTGTTTGCTTGCTCGCTAAGTTTGTGGTGGCTCAAAAAGTAAAACCCGCAGGCATCCGCAGGCTGTGGTCCTCTTTTCCCATGTTCCTTCAGGTTGAGTCGGGGCGTCTTCGTCTTCGCAAAGAAACTCAGAAAAAGTGGATTCGCAAAGGAACCCTTCATCAACCCTTAACAAGACTACGAGTACTATCCTTGGTTTTGCTCAAGGAACCGGCAAAAAAAACAAATCGCCCCAGAGAGTACGTCGTTTGATCCCCGGAGGATTGAGAGATCACCCGATATCCGGTACAGTCTCCTAGGCATTAGATATCCTATATATAAGCGTACAGTATCATAGGTACAGTTCTCAGCAACCAAGTATCCATAAGTATCCATAGGTATCCATAGGCCCATAGGTATCCAAGTCTCTTTGATACATTTTGCCTCATTTTGCATCCATTCTCTCCATTTTCCATCCCCCCGAGTGGCCTCCTGGAGGGGAACTTCGGCACCGAGCGGCCTTCGGTGGGGTCGGTGTGTGGCTCAGCGTGGCGCAAGCAAAAAGAGACGTAGCTGTTTAACACCCTTGAGTTGAGGAATGGAAGCATTTCACATCCCTTCTCACATTGAGGTTGAGTAGGCGAATCCGGCGAATCGAACGCTAGTCCAAAGGCTAGTCCAAGTTTTTGTGCAACCATTTTTGTGCGCTTGTTGGTACGGCTTGTTGGCCCAAACATGCGAAACGAGAGTCGTTGAGTCGTTGAGTCACCAACTCCGACTCATCGCACGCTGCCACCACGTTGACCGCGTGGACCGTCGTCCAGGGCGTGAAAGCTGGGTAGAGCAGAAAGCTGGGTTCGTTGTGCTTGGTGAAAGAAGAACTTGTATTAGTAGACTCTTGATGAATGACCCCCCATTTGAATTGGACATCCTCTGCATATGGGGGGGTGAAATATCATCAAGAGTCTACATGGATGACCTGGGAACCGACCCACGAACTGGTCGGTTCTGAGGAGCACGAACCTCCAAGTGTCGAAACCGGAAACGCTGAACCGGGCTGCTCACCCAATTGGTGCCCAACACGATTCACCTGCCAACACCACTGCACACCCCAACCGACAGCGGTGAATATTTCTATGTTTTGCTCAACAGCTGCTTGAAGACTTGTGAAACCCAGCTGCTTGATAGATCCTCACCATTTGTTTCACGCATGTCTAAAGAAAAAAACGGCCATGTGGTCATATGTGGCCATATGTCGCCAATGTTTTTGACTGTTTTTGTTCTATCTGGTTAAGGTTTCTCTTCAAAAGAACAGGATTCATCCCATCCCTTCGGCTCAGAACGGACTGACTTGCCCGGATGGCACCTTCCGCCTGCTCCAGGACCAAGTGAGGCTCTGGCACCTCCTCTAGGTCCTTTCGAGACCGCGTGGGACTGGTGAAGACCCGAAACGCACGTGGGACGGTTCATGGGACTGGCGACCACCCTGGATACGAGAACGCGCGACCAGCTTGGGGTCGGTGGGGCATAGATTTTTACAGATTCCTTGGGACGTGGGACGTGGGGATACACCCAATTGATCCCACTTGGCCACCGGCGGTGTCTTTGGGGCAGTTTGCAAGGCATAAGACTTTTTGGGGGGACTGAATGCAAGTCGCAGCACACGATCGCCTTCCAGACTTGGTCTTTTAGGGGCTAGACCTGGGACCTGATCATCCTCAAAAGTCCGCTTCCACTGTCACATGTCACATGTGTCTCACAAAAGGCGACCAAAACGGCGCCGTCCTTGTTGAACGCGGCCAAGACCTGGACGTGTCCGGCTAGCGCTTTGAGCGCAGCGGCGAGCCGCTGGGTCATTGAAAGGGTGTGTGGGTCCGGTTCCTTCGTGCGAATGCCGAATGCCCCAAACACCCACTGCCACCTGCCAAGGGCGTGGATGGGAAGGAGCGACCAGCGACCTCGACCTGCGACCTGCGAAGACCCAACAGAATATGGCGAAAGACGAGGCGGCGTGTGGTTTTTCATGTGTTGACACTTCCCTTAGGACATCCTTTGGTTGTGCGGCACACATCCGCATCAAAAGAATATGCTAAGCATCCCTACCACGAAGCCATCCTCCACAGCCTAAAAAGCCGATCCTTGAACAAACATCAATAAGCATTCCTCACCGCCTCGAGAGCGGCGGTTTTTGTTTACACCAACAGCGTACCCTAAAATACCCTGGAGGGCCTGTGAGTGCTGATTTCGAGAAAGGGCTCGGTGAACATGTTTGCTTTGAACTGAAGAAGACCTTTGAACATCTTTGAACATTCTAAATTATAATGTAGAATCTTGATTAATAACCCTCCCCACATGAAAAAGTGTTACAATCCAAATGGGGGGTGTACTCTTGATGAATCATCTCTCAGGCACCGCGCCCCGCACAAAAACGCCACACAAGTGCCGGAAAGACCTCCTCTGAAGAAGTAATGCATCACTCCAAAATCAGGTGACTGGATATCACTTGGCGGTGTTTACCTTTTCGTCCTCACAAGACCAAGCTCAAACGGAGCTTGGTGTTTGGTCTCAAACGGAGGGCGAGTTTGTACTCAGCTTCATGAGCCACACTTGAATGTACTCCCATAGGTGTTGCTCACCCAAATCCAAAGACCATCACTTTTCGTTTGATAACCGATTAAACAGAAACACATCAGGCAGTCCATAGCAGCCCTGGTGGGATAAAACTCTGTGAGCTGAGCTCCAGTTGGCTTGTCGGAACATGAGGAAGACACGTCTCCCCTCATCCCCTCTTGTTCCCCGACACTCAGCTAGTATTTCTGGCGCCTATTCTTTGCAGATCCCGATCCCAGAAGACGAACACATCCGGACGATGAGTTTCGCCACGCCTGGTGCTTGAGCTGTTCCTCATGGTGCGCTTGCAGGATGTCTGGTGTCCAGACTCCCTTGATCTCGGCCACATAGACCTGCCGCAGTTGAAACACACATTCCCCAAACCCTAATAGGAACATCCACCTGAGTGCCCTGGCTGGAGATCCCGAAGTAGTGTAAGGACACCCAGACAGGATACTCCTGGTATGTATGGTCTGGACCTTGTGGAAACCCGGAAGAACGCAGCATGCGGTGAAGGGCGTTTTCTTGCCGGGGGGGGGCTTTGTCTCCATTATGGAAGCCACTTGAAGCTTGTAGGATCTCGGCAGTGAGCTTCTGGAGACTCAGAATTCCCGAATGACGCTGGTTCCTGTTTCAGGGTAACTTGGATGTCAAAGCATGGATTTATCCTGGCCCAAAGGACAAAATTTCCAGAAAAGGTGTCTGCGAACCAGGTGAACTTTCACTTCTATGATTCCTGTCTGTAGACCCACAGTCATAGATAGAAGTTCGTTGATCCCCATGTAGAAAATGTATTGGAAACCGTGCCACTATCTATTTGGGGACCAAAAAATATGGAGGTTCCATGGAAGGCGTTCTGAATCGACACTTCGGTCTGTGATGGGTTCGCCTTGGAATCAGCACCGAGCAGGTTGCTCATGCTCACAAGGTAGCTGTAACTGGATAGGTGTTTGGCTGTGGGTCAAGAATGAGCAAACGTTCCAAGCCATGACACCAGTCGGTTCCACATATCAAGCCATGGCACAACAAACCTGAGATCCTTTGATGATTGGTGAGCATTAATTCAATGATAATTTATGTCAACCAATGAGGGAGCAAGTCAGCAATCTCAGGAACCTCACTTGTGCCTCTAGCCTGCACAAATGCCATGGTAGCTTGTCGTCTCGCTAAGTGTCGTCTCGCTTTCAAAATTGCAAAACATGGCAAACAAAACCACAGGGCAGGAGATGCGTTGGGCACGAAAGAACAACATCCACCGGACCGGCGTATCTCAGATTCAAGATTTGAACCTGCTCTTCCACAGAGCACAATCCATGTAGACTGAATATCAATCCTCCACCACCCCCACATGGAGGGGTTTTACAATGTTTTACATCTCCCAATTGCGCGCCATTTTCTTAAGACTCTTGATTGATAGACCCCCCAAGCTTGAAGAGGATTTTCAATAGTCTGCATCCTGCGGGGTTTATTAATCAACATCCATTCCCTACAGGTCAAAGACCTCATTTTACTGGTCTTGGTCATGCATAGACACTACTCAAGGAGGTAAAAAAGACCCGGCTTTAAACTCAGTGTTTTACTGGGTCCGACTTAGTGTTTACTAGGCATTTCATTCACATTCTCCCTCAAAAGGCACCGGCACCAGAGAAACACCGGTCACGTGGACGCCCCCGCCGTCTCTGCCTGCGGCCGGTCCCAGTTGGCCGCTGCCACGGCGGCTGCGTGGGAGAGTCGTGCCTCCAAAGGACGGCTGCTGCGTATGGTTTCGGCGTAGACACGTGGTGGGGTGTAATACAACGAACATGTCAAAACACACATAAGTGTGTGTGTGCATATATATATATATATATAATATATTTATACACATGTATATACTTAACCTATAATACATGTGATTATATCTTATGAGATATGATTCAGGTAGCAAAATCAAAATCCGACGAAATCCCGTACGTCGCCATTTCGGGCCAATGGCTGGAGAAGCCCTTTCACAGTGAAACCGGTCTGAATTCAAGGGAGTATTTCCAGCAGATTGAGATGCGGTGCCATATCACATTGATGCGGTGCCATTGTCATGGGAAATGTGATTCAGGTTGTGTCCACTTGAACATCAGTCAGGAGAGAACTCCCGGCAAAGTTCGGAGATGAACATTGGTCGTTCTGCATCTGGTGCTGACAGTTTGTTTTTTGAGAAAGAACAAACCTGCTGGTTTTGATGGTGACCCTCAAAGTAATGAACAGTAAATCCTCTCCATGTGAACACCTTGTAAACATCATGTCTCATATATTTTGGGTTGTCACTGGAAGTGTCACATTTTGTTCCTCTATCAAACCAAACAAGAATTTCCACGTAGTTTTTCAGGACCATCCAAACTGCCAGACCCACTAGTAAAACATCTAGGTGTGTATAATAGGAAGACCCCCTGGCCCTGGCTGGGTAGAGTCCACTGGTCTATTTTCCGAACCTTCGGTCGAGCGACCCAGAGCGACCCAACCGTCGTCGCTGCGCAGGACTTGACCGTTGATCCTAGTTCAACTTCTGCTCACGTATACCAGGACAGTCCAACTTCAGCGGTAGGGGGTTTGATTCATCAACAGTGAAGCTTTAATTGAAACTACACCCCTGTTGGTTTTGCATATGAATCGAAACAACATGAAGCAATCATGCACTTCATTTCATAAGTTTTCCTTTTCTTGACAGTCACGATGAATGTACAATGCCACCCCATTGGTCTTATAATGTTTGGAAACCGACACGAAGTCCACACCGCCTAAAACACACATCGTCTCCGGGCGATCTGAACCACCGGTGAACCGAGCCTCAGCCCAGGGTAAGGTCTTCAGCTTGATATGGCCCCGTTCTAGGTCCATGGCATGTGAAGTCCGGTTCTTAGCGCGAGGTCCGGAGGTGCGAGGTGCCACGCTGTTTCGGGGGTTGGTATCAGGCAAGAACATGTTTAGCAAATTATTGCTGGAACATGCTATAATTAGTGAATAATGTATTACAAAAGAAACGATGTGGAGGAGTTGTTTTTTTTTGAAAAGTCGACGGAGTGCTCGTGTACAAACACCACAAAAGAGCACTTCAGTGGTGCCGACACTCTCCACTTGATTCTGGGCCGACCTTTTGGCCGAAACCCGAAACGAACACCGGGCCACGTGCAACTCACAATCAGCTGGTTTGGAGGATGTTGTTGGACCAGGCTGCTACGTTTGCTTGTTGTACTACATCGAGCTACTCTTTGCTTGGTGGGATCCCCCAGCTGTTGTCATTCGTTTTGGATCCTGAAATCTCGGTTGAATCTCGTCCTGGGCCGTAGTGTTTGGCTCTTTCCACTATTGTCACCTTCACTTTGGGTGCCATTGACGCGTTCTAGGAGCCGAAGGACGTCAGGCGAGGTGGGCTGCCAATATTGGTCTTTGGCCGCAGGCGAGGCGCGTGACCTACAAAAGAAGCTCTTCATTGTCTGACATCTTGTGCCAAGAGATCACTTCCATTCATATAGCTATACTATAATTACTACATTATACTGATTCTCCACTATAGACAAATGAGGTAACGAGTCAACAAAAGGTTGACTGGCATTTTTCACGCCATCCCATTCCAAACATGCATCAAAAGACCCGCATCCGGTCCAGGTCTGGCAGTGTGGATCGAGGCCAGCAGCGACACCAAACAAACATCTTGACCCTTGACTCATCTAGCTGTGGGTCATGGCACCTCATCCCGGGACTCACCCTGGGTAGGTTGACCTAGCAGGTCGTCCATTCTCTTCATTTTAGACCTTAGTAAACCAAGGTACCTACCCCGGTTTTGACCCATTCCCATATGGCCTCACAAACGACTCATGGTCTGACCCGTAAGAACCTACCTCAATCTTCAACCAAACCTGCGCCGCAATGCAACCATTTTGACTGAAAGGTCCGTGAGTGAAGGTTGTCGCACTGTCCACGCATGACGGAGGCTTGAACTTGGGGGCACTCAGATCCGAGACTGGTTGCGGAAGAATTGGGGTGGATGTAGTGGATATCAGTGGCTCTGGACCAGTCGACTTGGAATTTGGAACTCAGGACATCTCTCGTCTCTCGCGAACTCATGCGAACTCCTGTTTTGGCCATCGGCTCTTGCGATTGTTGGTCAAAGCGTATCACCGTCGCAACCCCTCATATTTGGCACAGCTGCTGGTCTTGGAGAAAAATGCGGATGATGCCGTTTTCTCAATTGGACCAGTGGAGTAACGAAAGAGGCAAGGACCATCATGGATGTCTGTCCTTGAAACCACCCTCGTGCCTATAATTGAAATGCAAAGAACACCACGAACAGCACAGGCAGCCAAAACATGGACTTCATAAATGATGGGGATTCCCATTCCTGCAATTCCGCTTGTGTCTACTCTTCCAAATGAAATAAGCCCAGGAGCATCCTCTATGCCAGGCAGTCTAGGAATTCAACAAATTCTGAGGTAGGGGTTGATCTCACTAGACAACATGAACTCCAACTCCATACTTTGTCTGCCATAATGGCCGGAGTCGACAAAGGTCATGGTCTGATCATGTCTGATCTCGTCTGAAGAGTTGGGTGTGCCAATCTGGGCTGTTCCATTTGGCTCAAAGAAACCTTGTCTACAAGGGGAAGAAGGATGAAGAAGGCCCGGCCAGCCCGACGGACTCAGGGGAAGCGATAAGACTCATGCATCCCAATCCCATATACTCGGGACTGCCATAAATAGTTGCCGATCAGTTGGGGTAGCATATCTTCCAGTCCGAAGGGTTGTCTGGGAAATGATCTCCTACCAAGGTTGCCATTCTCCTCTCTGTGGTTGCCACGGGATGCTCTTCCTTGAAGAGTGACAAGGTTAGAAAAAATCGTTTGTACTGAATCATTGATGGAGGTCAGCATCTTGTGAATATGTACCTAGGCTTTTTCTACACGTATCTTGGAGGATGTGTGAAAGCAGTGTATAGCAGTGGTGGTGATCGTTCCATCTGCATTATTAGCATCCGTATCGTTCTCTTTCTAAAACTGCTTAGGCTTGTCAAAATACAAGAAAAACACAGCAACTGTGCCAAGCTGTGCTTGGTGCTCAGCTGGTACAAAGATGGACACAGAGCTCCACATGCTGAGCTGGGTCAAAATGAGCCATATATCATGTCCAACCACCTACAGTGGGTTTCAGAGGTTCGATCCCACAAGTTACCCCAAGCTAGGTGGTTAGAGAGGTGGACCCCCATTTTTAGGGGATACACATCTTGGGGTCTGCTTACGTCTGTGCCATCGAACCTCTAAAGCCACCTCTCCAGACCGTATGTTCTTCCGTCCGAAGAATGCACTCCGGATCGACCAACAGGTCCTGCAAGCGAATCCCACGTTCAGAGGACCAGCGATGGTGAACCGTGACCCCCCGTGCAGTTACCAGGTACCACCCAGAGATGAAAGCTCGTGGAATGATCGAATCTTATGGTTTTGGCGGTTTGAACTGGAACCGTTGATCGATCTGGG